ATGCTCAGCTAAATCATGACTTTTGAAAATAGTTCTACCTTTCAAGTATATTAGTGAAAAACTCAAATCGTTTACCGAAGTTGTCAAAAATATGAGTAAGTTTGAAAATAATAATTTTTCCCAAAATTCTTTCAATAATAAATAAGATGTTTCATTTTCTTTCCAGATAACCAGTGTAAAACCAATGCATCACTATGCCCATTTGTCAACATGTGTGAGAAATCATGAATGATGCGATATCGTACAACATGAGGAAAATACATCTCTATGCTTGTATATCATGTGTGCATATCAATGCAATGTTGTATATGATGCACCATGCTGACAGCCTTATGTGCTCATACTCTCGAATACTCAACCACTCGGTACTGTATATGGCCCATACGGCCCAGGGAAGATCCATCCTGGAACATATACATCACTGACTATAAGTCACCCAGTACCGAGGAAGGCCAATCCAGCCATGTAGAGAAGATCCATTTCCAGGTTCACACTCTCAAATACTCAACCACTCGGTACTGTATGTGGCACATACTGCCCAGGGAAGATCCATCCCAGAACATATACATCACTTACTATAAGTCACCCAGTACCGAGGAAGGTCAATCCAGCCCTATGGAGAAGATCCATCTCCATATAATATCAACCGCGCTCACTGTGGGTGTGTGCAGACTCCAGAGGGGTTCCTTCAGCCCAAGCGCTATCATAAATCAGTATCAATATCAGAATAATCAGGCCCTCGGCCTCACTTAGTCATCAATCTCTCCAGTCTCTCTCTTATGGGCTCACAATGTCATAAAAATAGCCCAAAAATAATGATATGATTGTATCAATAAATAATAAGAGAGACTGAGATATGATATGAATATGAATGCGTATGACTGAGTATGTAATGCAATGTAAGCAGATAACTTAACAGCAGAAATGACCTCGGTGGGTCCCAACATGATAGACATGTAGCCTAAACATAGATTATAGCATGAATCACATTTTGATAACTCTAGTACGTAGAGAATTCATGATTTCAAATACATAACACGTATAATCAGGGTTCATACCCTCAGCTCCAAGATTAGAAGGGTTACTTACCTCGAACAAGACGAATCCAATTCCGAGCAAGATCAAAATGCTCCAGAAATTTCATTCTGCGCGTATCAACTCCCGAATGGCTCGAATCTAGCCACAATAAATTTAATTTAGTCTACAAATTTTATAGGAATTAATTTCATATCAAAATACTAATATTTTCCCCAAAATCCGAAATTACACTCCAAAAATTGCTAGTGGGGCACGCGTCTCGGAACCCGACGAAACTCACAAAATCTGATAACCCATCCAATTACAAGTTGAACCATACTAATTTCACTCAATTCCGACTACAACTCGATATTCAAAACTCAAAAATTCTTTTTATGAAGTTATAGGAATTTCCTTCGATTTCTCTTGAAGATTCGAAAATCTTACACCAAAAATAAAGATTAATTCATGAAATATAATCACAAGGGAGTCAAGAACACTTACCCCAAGTTATGTGAAAAAATTCCTCTCCAAAATCGCCCAAGCCGAGCTCTAAAATGTCCAAAATGAGAAAATCCCGAAAACTCTCATTTTTAACACTGCCCCAGCGACTTCCGCATCTGCGGACAAGGGGTCGCACCTGCGACCCTCGCTTCTGCGGAAAATTGTTGCACCTGCGCTGCCCAACTCACCATTTTTCGCTTCTGCGCCAACCTATTCGCCCTTGCGGCCTCGCAGATGTGGGCAAAAATTCTCGCACCTGCGAGCACTGCCAACTCCACTATTGGCCTCTTCTGCGACTGGTTGCGCGCACATGCGGCCTCGCACCTGCGGTCAGACCTCCGCAGGTGCGAAAATACCATAAGCAAAATTTCCAGCAATGATTTTAAGTCCGAATTTAAAACGTTAACCATCCGAGACTCACTCGAGGCCCCCTGGACGTCAACCAAATATACCAACAAGTCTTATATCTCAATATGAACTTAGTAGAATCCTCAAACAACCTCAAGCAACATCGAAAACACGAATTATACACGGATTCCAGCCTAATGAACTTTGAACTTTCAAATTCTATAACTGATGCCGAAACCTATCAAATCACATCCGATTGACCTCAAATTTTGCACACAAGTCACATTTTATATTACGGACCTATTCCAATTTCCAGAATCTGATTCCGACCCCGATATCAAAAGGTCAACCCCCGGTCAAACTTCAAAAATTTAACTTTCGTCATTTCAAGCCTAATTCCACTATGGACCTCCAAATAATAATCCGGACACGCTCCTAAGTCCAAAATCACCATACGAAACTATTGGAATCATCAGAATTCAAATCCAAGGTCGTTTACATATAAGTCAATATCCGGTAAACTTTTCCAACTTAAGTTTTCGATTATGAGACTAAGTGTCTCAATTCATTTCGAAATCCTTCCGGACCTGAACCAAATACTCCGGCAAGTCATACAACAATAATAAAGCATAAATTGAGCAGTAAATGGGGAAACTAGGCTGTAATACTCAAAACGATCGGTCGGGTCGTAACACAATCACTCACAAAGAAGAGGTTCACTCAAAGTGTTTTTCAATACTAACTCCATGGAATATAGCAAAACTCTCTATCAGAAGAATACTGAATATGAGTTTCTAATCAAAATATGGGATGACTCAAATGAAATAAGATGGCCCATATTTATAGGGTAAACTTCTTAGTCCCAAGTAAAAAAAAAGGAATAAAAAAATACTTTTATTCTTTGGCTCAAAGCTAGAATTCTTTGGCTCCAAATTTGAATATTTTGGCTCCAAGATTGAATACTCTGACTCCAAAATTAGTCGTGAACAAATTTAGGTCATGTCTTATATTAATGAACTAATCGCTGCATAAAACTCAAGACAATTATATACATTGTGTGGTTGCCTCCAGTGTTTTAAAAGGCATTTTCGGGGCGAGGCACACCAAAAACGCCCTGGGGCGATGGTGTGGGGCGAAAGTCTCAAGAGGCGTACTCTCAACAATTTGGGGCGTACGCCCGGGCATTTGAGGCGAGTTTATTTTTTGTGAGGCGTAAGCCCCAGAGATTGTTTCAAATTAAAACAAAATTTGTTGAATAAGTCCTTCATATAATACCCAAATTTTCAAAATTCAGCTTGGTAATTATTCAAAAATTTTAAAAAGGAACTGTAATGTATTAAATTTAAAAGTCAAAACCTTTTTTTATTGATTGAAGCCCCAATTTGTGGTCTTTCCCAATTCTTTATTTTATCCGCTAATCTGCTAATATCTCCCAAAAGCAACGAATATTTATTTTTTTTACAAATACAAAAAGAACTTCATTCTCCTTCGTAACAGCAAGTTCAAAGTTCAAATTGAAGGTTAGTCATCATTTTTGTTCCTCCATGTAGAAAACTTTATTTTTTTCGACTCAAGTTACTTGAGCTTCTAATATATATATATATAGTTTTTTTTATGTAATTTTACATGTTTATAAATATTTATTATAATTATATTATTTTATAAAATATTAAAAATTAAATACCTATGGAGCTTACACCCCGTACCTCGGGGCTTACGCCTCGCAGAGGCATATGTAAAATGCCTCACCTTACGCCCACGCCTTTTAAAATAGTGCTTGCCTCTTTTTGTTTTCCGCATAATTTACCGAAATGAGTTATGCACGAGTCTATATTATTTTGTGCAGAGTAACATGTTAAATAAAAATACGGGTTATTAGTAATGCATATTTTAAATAAATAAAAAAGATAAATATACCCTCACACTCTTCAAAAGAGAATTTATTAAAAATATCCAACACGAGATAATCCACTTGCATGCATTACTAATCTTTACATTTTGTGACATATATTTACTTTATTATGACAATAATTTTATGTTTATTCTTTTTTTTTTTCCTTCCATCTTTGCATTTATTCCAAAGAAATAGTATATGTTATTGTATCGGATCACATCAACTCTGTATTAACTTGCTTAGATTAACACCAATCTACATATATGATGACGCTAGGATTTGTTCAGGATAATTAAACGTGGGGCTATCTGCAGAAAATAGAAAGTACCATATAAGTAACTAACTTGAAACAATAGCTAATGAAATTATAGTCTTTAAACTACAAAAGGGAAATAAAAATAACATAGATGGTCTTCAAATTGTGTCTTTGAGTTATTAACGCCAATCCTTTTTTTTTTTTTGGAAAACGCATAACTACCCCTTCAGCATGCCATGAATTTGTAATTATTTAAATTTATATTTTACGAGGGTTTTATATTATCTTTTTGAATTTTTTCAAATTAAAATTGTTACCATCCAGAGATGGGCCAACTAAAATTTTGGCTCAAATGACAATGTGTATATTTTGTTTGTATTTTATTTAATTTTTCTTATTCTATGGAGTACCATTTTATTACTCTGACTGGAATCAACTTTATATACACTTGAAAATGGTGATATTCTTTTGGTCCAGCCAGCCAAATCTTTGGTAGCTCTTTATAGAGTAAGTGAAGCAATTGGCATTTAGATCTCACAGCATGTGCTTGTTCTGATCATGTCATAAATACACCCGACAATATAAATTATTTTACGCCAGTATCGTAATTCTATTAGTTACTTGTAATTATATTTTAAATGACCTAATATATAAAACAATATTTATACCATTAGTTTATAATCTCTGGCAGTCTCGTTATTCGTCTCTGAATTAAGTACAATATGTATTCTTACACTAATTTTCGATACCGATGACTAAAATGGTTTGATTTGTTCTAAAATAAGCGAGAAATGCTTTTCTCAATGTTATTTTTAAAAAAGTAATTTTGTTTGTGTTTGACTAATTAATTTAAAAAGTATTTTTGAACAGTAATTAGTGTTAGACCAAACTTTTGAAAACTATTTCTAGGTGTATTTTTTCTCAAAATTGTTTTTAAAAATAAGTTACTTTTTTTTATTTTTCAAAAAGCTGATTCTTCTCCTCCTCACAAGCACTGTTTTTTTGGCCAAAATCATTTTTGCCCAAAAAAATACTCATGTTATAAATATTGTTGGTCTCCCGCATCCTCATGGAACCATAGAAGCACTACCCTTTCTCACACTTGCCTGCTGCCCTAGATCCATTTCTCTTCCTCCTCAGAAAATGGAAGAAGTTCAAGTCATCTCTACCTGTTTAGTTGGGGCAGCTTCCAAATTGTCAAGCTCAAACAACAATGGCAACAACACAACCATTTCCCAAATTGAAATGACACCATGGGACTTGCAATTCCTTCTTGTTGATACTATCCAAAAAGGTCTCCTCTTCAGAAAACCAACTCCCCAACAAGAAAACACTCTATTCAAATCACTTTCCTCTCTTTCCTTAATTGATCACTTGAAAACATCTCTTTCTCGCACCTTAGACTTCTTTCCTCCTCTAGCTGGCCGTTTTTCCCCTACTAAAAATGCTAATGATGATACGATGTCTTTCTTCATCACTTGCAATAATGCTGGAGTTGAATTTACTCACGCTATTGCTCTAGAATTAACTGTGGAAGAAATTCTTGAATCTTGTTATGTGCCACCTATTGTTCATTCCCTTTTCCCACTTAATAAAATGCGTAACATCGAATGTGTTACTAAACCATTACTAGGAATTCAAGTAACAGAGCTTGTTAATGGGTATTTTATTGGTTGCACTATGAGTCATAGTGTGGGGGATGGCACTTGCTTTTGGAATTTCTTCAATTCTTGGTCTGAAATATCCAGTGGATCTGAGTTTATTAGTAGGCTTCCAGTTTTAAAAAGGTGGTTTCCTGAGAATATAAAGCCTCCAATTCATCTCCCTTTGAATCTAGAAGATCAAGAATTATATGAGTGTATGGAGCTTCCACCATTGAAGGAAAGGATTTTCCATCTCAGTAAAGAAAGCATAGGGAAATTGAAAGCAAAAGCTAACTCTGAAATGGGTACTAATTCCATCTCTTCTCTTCAAGCTTTTTTGGCTCATCTATGGAGATCTGTTACTCGTTGTCGTCAGCTTGATTCCAAGGAAGAAGTCACTATCAGCATTGTCGTAGGTAAAGATTGGTTGTTTTAATGTGACAAAAATAATTTTGAGACTTACTCTTATAGCTGATAAAATTCAGTTATTGATTTGGAAAAAGAGCTATGTGGCTTTGCCATTACTAGGGAATATAGTCAAGTTACTTTAACATAACAAAAAATAATCTTGTAACTTTATTGTTATACTGTCCATTATTGTAGGCACAAGACCGAGGCTAAATCCTCCATTGGCAGAAGGGTATTGGGGAAATGCAGCTTATTTCAAGCCGGTAAAAAGAACAGCAGGGGAACTGCTAGAGAAAGGACTTGGCTGGGCAGCATTGCAAATGAACACAATAATTGCTTCTCAGAACAATGAGGAAGTGGTGAAACTATATAAGGAGTGGGTGGAAAAGCCTGTATTATTTACAAAGGGTTCATTGTTTGTGGCCAATAGATTGACAATTAGTAGTTCTCCAAAGTTTAGTGTTTATAGTACTGATTTTGGTTGGGGGAAAGCAGTGGCAGTGAGGAGTGGGATGGCAAATAAAGGTGATGGAAAAGTAACATTATTTCCTGGGGCAGAAGAAGGAAGTGTAGATATTGAAGTTTGTCTTTTACCTGAGACTTTGCTAGCAATGAAGAATGATGAAGAATTCATGAAAGCTGTTACTGTTTAGAGAAAGAAGATATACTAAATCACCCTCTTTTGAGAACTAACATCTTTTTCCTGTTGTAATTTTATTCTTTGGCTGCTTTTAATGTGAAATTGCTACTGAGATTTGGATTTATATGCATTACTAGTTTCTTAGAGTATAGTTTAAATAGTGTTTCGATAAAAATTAATGGGTACTTGAGCACCCCATAAGTGGAAATGCAAGTCCATTGTTGGTTGGTGTGTAACTACTGAGTTTTATTTTTTTTTAAATATCTTTTTTATAAATAATATCGCATAAGTTTATGCGAAGTTTTGGAGAAAAAAGCGACCGTAAGAAGTGCTGACATAAGAAAACATAAACAAAAAAACCAATAGTTAAGACTTGTATGGGCTCTCTCTATCTTCTTTCACTATACAAAAAAAAAAATCTTCCTTCACTATACGAACTACGTAGTTAAAGCTGTTTGGTTGGTGAACATTAATTTAGAGTTGAAGAGCAAAGTCTACTCGCAATCCTTTTGTAAGCAATTATTGTACATGTGATTAATTGCTCTGGCACATGAGAAAAACACGGACATAAACAACATTTCCATTTAGTGGATCTGTCCCTTTCATGTCGTTTAGAGTGACGAGAATGTTTATAAGATATTTTTTCTGAGGCATCTTCAACTCTCGTACAGTGATCGCGCCAATGGTCAACAGTGTTATAGTGAAATCTTTTATTATAATCGTTGTGATCCCGCTTTCGTTGATCTCTAGCTAGAGCTTGGGTTTGCAAACCAAATCGATAACCCGTGCCAATTCGAAAATTCGAGTTAATCCGGAAAAAAATTCCGACTTGTAGTTTGGTTTGACTTGATTTGGTATTGAAAAATAAAACCCGACCAAAATAAAGTTGGTTTGGTATTAACTAAAAAAAGTCAAACCGAAACTAAACCAACCCGACATTACATGTATACATATTTTATATATTAGATAGATAAAAATATTTATTAGAATGTAAGTTATAAATATTTCTTAATTTTTTTTATAATTTATGTATTTAGCACAATATTTTAAATTGGTTTTATAGCCCATGTAAATATTTATTTTTGTCTGGCCCTAAAAGAATAATTGGAGCCCAAACCAAAACCTAGTCCTAAACCAGAACTAGACTAGTCCTAAAGCTGTTCTAAAATACTTAAACAATTTAAATTATTTTGCCTCTTCTCCAAACGCAAGAAACCCTATCGTTCCATTCTAAAAACCCCCAATTATCTCAAAACAAATTAGCTCAAACCCTATCAACTCTCTTTTGCTCACGTCGGTAAGACTCTTCCCTTTCTCATTTTACATGTTTTTTTTTAGCTGCATACATACGCCTTGCTTTTTTTCAATTAACTAAAATTTTTCTTATTCCGATTAGCAGTTGTTTTGCAAATCTATTATATTCCTCCCTATTGTCGAATTCATTTGTTTATTTTGTTTATCTTAGATGATTAACATGAGTAATTGACTGTTACTTAAAAAGATATTGAAACTTTTTTACTTATATTTTGAATCATTTGGTTAAATAATATGGACTATGTAAAATTAAGAGTGATTTATTTCTTACATTGATGTATTTTCAAGGAATATAAGTTTGAAGACATGTTAGAGGAAGTCCAGAAAATTGAGCAAGTTGAAGAAGGTAATAATTTATATTCAATTGTTAATGAGTATAGTTATTTTTTTATATTATTTAATATTAAATATGTTAATTGTTTCTTTTCTTTCAGAATATGCAAACTCGCCTTTGAGGATTGATTAGAGGGATATTTAACTACAATTTGCTTCATGACTATTTTTGGAATCTTTACTAATTTAAAGTAATTAATTAAAAGAAAGTTGGTGCATGGTTTTTAGTCGATTAAGAAGTTTTTGTATTACATTATTTCTCTAAGGTTAAGTTGATTTGACAATTAAAGAAATTAGACTTTTTACAATACTTAAAGCAATTGATTTGTCCATGATACTCCAACCTGCTCTTTCTAATTGTTTATCTAAGGTTCAATTGAAGTTGGACATGTCAATTGCTTTAAGTTTTTATTAGCATTTTGGTGTAAAGTGAAAAATAATTTATAAAGTAGAGACCTTTATAAAGTGGAACCATACAACCTATTGACTAGCATAGTTGAGGTCAATGCTAAAAAATAAAAATATGTTTGTTATTGGTAAAATTGTATTTAGGACTATAGAAATATTTGGAGCACAAGTTTATCGGAAAAAAAATCCCGAGAAACCCGAGAAAACCCGATATTGAAAAATCCGACTTTTGTTGGTTTGGTTTGGTCTATAGATTTAAAAATCCGATACAATTGGTTTGGTTTGGTAATTGCAAAATCTGAACCAACCCGACCTATGTATACCCCTAGCTAGAGCTGTCAAAAAAGAATGACTAGTCCGGTTTGTTTGACCTAAAAATATAACTTTCGGTTAAAATTATTATATTTATTTAATAATGGATTGAACCTAGTTAATGATAATATCTCTAGATACGAGTTTTGAAAGCGTGTATGAGGTGAGACAGATCCAGGAGGGGGTTGACAATAACAAGCATTAAATATTCATAAAATATAAGCGATAATGGCAGTAGGGCTAATAATAAATAGCAATAAATGGCATTTGAGTAAATAGGAGGAGTGATTCGCCCAATAAATAATGAGCTAGGTGATTATTCCTCCTCACAATGATGAATGACAGATAGATCTTAGAACATTCGAAATCTTCTCGGATCTAATGGAAAGGTGCAGGATAATGTAAACGAGAATCTTGACAAAAAGGTGTTCTTTGTATCTTTTCAAGGGGAGAGAGTATTTTGTAAAGTCTTCTCTTCCCACAATGAATATCACATGCCCCTATTCATTATATTATTTTCTATTTATACGGGACATACCCCAATAAACCCTAATAGTATAGGTACAGAGAATATCCAATAAAATATTCTCTTTAATATCCTACCCTAATAAACTAGCCGTTACAGCTCTGTTTACAGCACTTGACATTGCCTATCTTCCGCATCTCTGATCTCGTCCAATTTCAATCCTCTATTTGAGGATATGAAAATGGTCGAAGCAATAGTGATACCCAACAAGAGTCGGGGTCGAATTCCGCAGGGAGCTATGTGAAAATGGGTGTTAGTGGTATATATCTTAGCACGTGATTTTGTATATCTAAATTTGCACTTCCGCAATAATTGGTTTTGTTTGAAAATCTAAATTAAACTATGATTGCAATTTAAAAAATGAAACTAGAAAATTATTTTTGGTTGTTTTTCAAATGATATAAAAAACCTAGAGCTATGACCTTCACCTAGGTGTTTGCCTAATGGGTTATAAATTTTAAAACTTATTTTATTGGTCGGGGTGTATTATAGCTATCAACACTCAAGTACCCACTCACTACCTCTCGGTTAGAGAGTGGTTTTGCCCAGTTTGGCTTTCTCAAGTCCAAATGGGTATTGAAAAAAATAATTGATAATAAGCTCAAGTCGGGTTTTACTATCTCTAGGTTCAACCCTTTAATTGGGCTTATCAATCTCTCGATTGACCCAATTTATTGCTAGCCAAGTTTTCCTAGACTAAGTCTCTCTTTCTCAAGTAGAGACCAAGTCAAATAGGCATGAAATAATGTTTGCAACCATTAATTATTCACATAAAAGCAAGAACTAGGCTAGATAATCAATACGCAACCATAAATAAGCAATAAATTAAATACCCATTAAGTTCACACACTAGGGTTGGGTCATAACCCTAGTGAAAATCTAGCTACTCATGCTTAAATTGGAAGAAAAAGAAAAAAAAAGTGATAATTAAACCCATATTGATAATTAAAATGATGAAATCAATATTCAAAAAGCTCAAAATAGCAAAAATTACTAAAAAGAGTAAAAGAAACTGTCTATTGTAGCAGTTGATGTCAAAACTTAACCTAAAAAGTGAAACTCTTCTATTTATATATAGTGCTAGAATTTTCGGACAAAAAATGCCCTTTCGGAGATTCTACGGACGCACAATTCCATGTGCGGTCTGCACTTTACTTCAGCCTGACAGGATTGGAAACCTGCGGTCCCACAATTTTGAACTGCGGCTACACTTCTCTCTTTCTGCGGACAACACAAATATGTATGCGGCCGCACCATGCTTTTCTGCGCCGCACAAATGTGGTTGCGGCCGCATCATGCTCTTCTGCGGCCACACAATAATTGTGCGGTCCGCACTCTTGTTAAACTTGAGATGCAAGTTCTCTGAACTTTGGCTTTTACCCAGTTTCTATGGCCGCACAATTTCATGTGCGGTCCGCATCTTGCAACCTTCTATGATGGAATTGCTTCATGACCTGCGGCCACACATGGTATTCTGCGGTCCACACTTTTAGCTTTTGTGCTATTTTTGTCCTTAAGGTCAAATTACTCCTTCTTGAAGTGGATTTCATCTTTGGAGCTCATCTTCCGATATTCTTGCAATTAAGCATATTTTATCAGTTTTCGGAAATACAATTAAGCGCTTTTGGACTAAAACAAAAGCAAAAAAGGCGCTAATAAGTAGTCAAAATCCCCACTTACTAACTCCCCCAAACTTAAGTTTTTGCTTGTCCTCAAGCAAATAAGATAATTTCTACCTCCACAGGTTAAGAGCCATTCCAGCTAATCAAAGGTGAATCAATCGCACATTAATTGGGACCAACAATTACCCACGACACTTATGAATTATCAACAAGGCAACAAGTTAAACTTTTAAGCACGAATAGTTCTAATATGACACTTGAGCATCAAGAGTTGACTTTATTCATCAAGGAAGCTCGCTCTTTCATGTAGATCATTGTGGATCTCTAACTCCTCCTCATCTACTCTCCTTTTGCCTATCTAACTTAAGAATATAGCACTCAATTCACAGGTTTGTGAAAGGTTCACTCATCTCTCTCAAAAGAATGTCGCAAGTACGGCTTTAAGCACCATAGGCCTGCCCCTCATGTGAATCACCACTAATGTAAGCTTACTCGACTTGAAATCACGTAGGGCTTTTTCGGGATACAATGAAGACTTTTGGAATAAGGTTGGATAAGCTATGATAGAACATGTTCATCTTACCTTAAGCACTCCATTTTCTTTTATA